GCAGCAGACCTGGGCTTACTTATCAATGGATGAACACTGGTTTCTCTCTCTGGCTTTCTCTCTGAGTGTGCCACTCTAGCTCAAACTGACCTTACGCCTTTATCATCTTTCCAAATGCTTCACAACCACAAAGTATGTGGTTTCCCAAAGATAATATCAAGCAAGGAGAAGATCGCTCTCACACTGCCAGGATAGTCATCAGCATGCTCAGAATCGGCGGTTATTCCTAGTGTCATGCCACATTCAAAATGCTGTTTGATTATAAAATAAAATCAATTTTCTTCAGCCCTGTTTGGACAGCGACATTGTATACTGGATGCTTTTCCATAAGGCTTAAATATTCACAGTGGTTCGTCAGCTACTCTGATTTCATTTTGAAATGCTGTGTTCGCTCTGTAAAATTCATTTCTTCCTCCATCTCTCCCATCTATCCACCTACTTACTCATGGGCTGGGAGTTAATGGGTAACAGGGCAAGGCGGAAAATGGGAAACAACTAACCATTGGAAGTCCACTAGTGATGTTATAAGTGAGACGGCACAAAAATGATGTCCTTACTGGCTGGGCACGGTGGCTCCCGCCTGTAATCCTAGAACTCTGGGAGGCCAAGGCTGGAGGATTGCCTGAGCTCAGGAGTTCAAGGGCAGCCTGAGTAAGAGCGAGACCCTATCTCTACTAAAAATAGTCTGTCTTGGGAGGCTGAGGCAAGAGGATTACTTGAGTCCAAGAGTTAGAGGTTGCTGGGAGCTATGACATTACAGTACTCTACCCAGGGTGACAGAGTGAGACTGTTCTCAACACTCTCCCCCAAAACATCATTTCCCTACAGCAGGGTTTCTAAATCTTCCCTAATTCCCAACAATTTGCACTTTCTGCCAAATCTGAGGATCATTAATTATATGACTGTCATTTAATGTCCTACCTTAAGTCTATTTACTTAAAAAAAAAAAAAACACCAAAAATTAAATGCCTACTTTGGTCTCATGCTAAATCTTACTAGCTATAAAATCATGATTTTAATGTGTTTTATTTTTTCTAAGACAATGTACACAGCTAGATAATCATTTTGTATCTTGAACAGTATGTGTTATCAGCAAAACATATACAGGAATGTATGTCAGAAAAGAATTCCAGGGCCCCTTCTTTCTGTTAAGGCCTCTAGTAGTAAGCTGATCTGAACTGCCTTGTGTAATTTTTCAGAGACTGAAAGGCGAATAGATTCAGTGAATATTTTTCTGATTAGAACATGACCAAAAGCCCCTAATACTCAGAGAGTTCACATATCCATTAAGTCCTGGTGCATAAATTAGCACCTTCTGACACAAATATAACAAATATACTCCCAAAATTTAGAATGGCCATAAAGTGATTGGAAATGTTTTATAAGTAAGGTGTGGCTCGGCGCCTATAGCTCAACCGGCTAAGGTGCCAGCCACGTATACCTAAGGTGGCGGGTTCGAATCCCCAGCCCGGACCCACCAAACAATGATGGCTGCAACCAAAAAATAGCCGGGCGTCGTGGTGGGCGCCTGTGGTCCCAGCTACTTGGGAGGCGGAGGCAGGAGACTCGCTTGAGCCCAGGAGTTGGAGGTTGCTGTGAGCTATAATG